ATATCTCAAAATTCTTTTGGTTCCTTGCAAATGATATACACATGCCTTTTCCATAAATCTATTGAGTAATCTAACTCTAAAAACAATATCCGACCTTATAGTAGTCAAATATTTGATACTTTCAATCAAACTTTTGTAGTTAGTTGGATCTACTCTCTTGCTATTAAATTTTCTTGTTAACTTCAATTTTTTCTTAATTGGTGTGGAAATTGGCTTCAAATTCTTCATCTTGAACTTCTTCAAAATATCACTAGTATATTTTTTTGAGAGATAAAAATTTCTCCTTCTTGCTGAACAACCTCAATGCTAAGAAAATAGGACATTAAGCCTACATCTATCATTTCAAAATGTCTTGTCATAACCTTCTTAAATTCTATTATCATCTTGAAATTGTTATCAATAAAAATTAGATCATCAACATAAAGGCATGTGATAAGAGTATCTCTAGGCTCAACAAATTTAATATATAATATGTGCTCAAATGGGCATCTTTGAAAATCATTTTGTACAAAGTAGGAGTCAATCTTCTTGTAGCCCTTAGTGCTTGCTCTTTAAGCCATGCAGTGCATTCTTCAATATGAAGAATTTTTCTTATTCTCTTTCAATTATATAACCTATAAGTTGCTCAACATATATTTTTTTCTCCAAAGTACCATTCTGAAAAGCAGACTTTATAGTTTATATCTATTTGATATATTTTCCAATTATTTTCTTTTGTGACCAACTTGATTTTAAAACACTCAATCTCACTATTGAGTTTGTACTTTATTTTGTACACCCACTTCACTCCAATTGGCTTCTTATATATCGTCAAATCTGTCAACTTCTATGTTTCATTCTTTTCAATTGCATAAATCTCAGAATCCATGACTTCTCTCCAATTTTGATCATTTGCAGCTTCTCCAAAAATTACTAGTTCAGAATATGCAAATAAAGCAAAGTTGATAATTTTCTCATTAGATGGATCATTGTCATTACCTACAACCTAATCTTCTAGTCTAGCTGGTAAGTCTTTGTTGCCTTTGTGGTCTATTAGATGTCTTTGGCTCATCAGGTGTTAGATTTGCATGCTTATTTTACTCTACACAACTGTTTGGAGTCACCATTGATTGTTGTTGAACTTTCAGATACTAATCACATATTCTTTACACATCAAATGTCACGTTATGACTGATAATCACTTTATTTGTCTTTGAACTATAGAGTTTATATACTTTTGAATTTGTGTAGTAGCTGACGAACATATATTTTTCTCCTTTATTATTAAGTTTCTTCCTTAGTTGATTTGATACATGAGCATTAGCTATACAACTAAAAATTTTGAGATGTCAAATTGATTTGATACTCTTGGCCTCTGTCTATTCTCATAACTTTAATCTTATAATCACTTTATTTTTTCACAAATGCCTTAAATATTTTGAAGTCATCACAAGCTTCTATTCAAGAAACATACCCATGTCTTTTTTACTAAAATCATCAACAAAGATAATGAAATACCTACTATCACCATGTGTTAGAATCTCAACTACACACAATTCTAACTGTACAATCTCTAATGAGTTCTTTGCTTTTCATGATTTTCCTTTAGGAAATGACTTTCTTTGCTTCTTTTTTAATTGGTAAGTCTTTTACACACTATTTGGAATATTCAAACAGGCAAGCTAGAAAAATACTCTTTCTTTGATAAATAATTCAATCCAGGAAAATGAAAGTGTCAAAAATGCATATGCCACAACCAATCATCATTTATTATGATAGAATTCTGATAAATGTATAAATTGGGTAATTTTAGGTGATAATTTGTACACTTTTTATGTTAAATGTTTGAATTTTTTTGGGTTAAATTTCTCCTAAACTTGAAACTTTTACAATTACTTGTATATTTGAGGAGAAGAATGTAATTGTAAGTGTTTTGATTCCTTTTTGATATATTTTGTAGTTGGAATAAGAAAAGAAACATCATCTAAAGTTGAAGAAATTTAGAAAATTAAGCAAGAGACACACAAAAGCATGAAGTTAAAAAAAAAAAAAAGATTCTGGAGGTCTCTTGCTGTAGCGAGAAATGATAAGTTTAGAAGAGTGAATCTGTACTCCTCTTGCTACAGTGATAATTTGTCGTTGTAGCGAGAGTGACTTTCTTGATAGACAAGTAGAATGACCTAATTTTGCCTCAATTCCTCGCTATAGAGAAAGAGTGTCGTTACAGCAAGAGCCAGTATAAAACATGACTTTTGTATTTATGAAAAAAGGGACTGTTCCATTCTTGTTCTTAGAGAGAAAGAGTGGCAGAGAGCTGAGAGTAAGAGTGAGAATACTTATTTTCTAATATTCTATACCGTTTGTATCTCATTTTTTGTTATTATGTTTGTAATGAGCAACTAAAACTCTTATGAGATTGAATGTAAATCTTCAAACTTGATGTATTCTCAGTAATTTATATAAATATAGTTGTTTCTTCTTCATTTCTATTGATTTGATGATTTCAATCCATGTTTAATGCTTGAATTTTTCTAATTGATAGCTTCTTGAGCCTAGATCTGAGTTATATATGGAAGAATACTACTTAGATCTAGAACTAATTGAGATTACTTGATAATTGGTTACTCTAGAAAAAGATTTCAAGTTATCGATTGTTTTTAAATCCTGATTATAGTGTTAAATAATTTATTAATTGCTTGAGGGATCAACGTTTAATAAATTGTCTTAGAATTATATTTTCAAGAAATTAAGATATATGACTTTTGTATTTTGCATCAATATTATTAGAAATGATTGTTATGTTTAGCATTGAATTACTGAAATACAGAGAGGGAGATAGATAAAATTCAATCTCAGTTTCTTTAATTTAAATTTTACTACATTTAACATTATTATTTTACATTATAATTGTCACTCAATCTTATGAAAATCATCAAACAATTTTATTATATATAAGCTGAATTAATTTTTATCTTAACAATTAATACGTTTTTAATTGTTTTCTGAGGACAATATTTTGGTACTTCACTAGTTATTATTTGTAATAGACTCAGTACACTTGCTATGTTTTTAAGAAAAAATTCCAACAAATTCAAGAAAAAATATTTTTCATGTTGAAGTTTTAAAGGGAATAGGCAATTTGGAATTATTTCTACCTTGACGATATATCTCCTATTTTTATCAATTGGTGTGCAGCTTTAATGATGAATATCCATGTTGTAGCATTTGTTTGATAGTTGTCCCATGCTCAATAAATTATGGTAAAGATCAATAGCGTAGAAAATGTTAGAGATGAAGTTTTAAGAATTTTCTTTCAATCTAATTGTGATTCAGTCTTTTCCCAAAGTTGAAATATTGGTGTTGTTGCCAAATTTTACTATAGACATTTTTGATTCATTTAGAAAAGAAAACAACTCTTTTTTTTGTCACACATATGGTTAATACACCCGGTATATAAATACCAAATATTTTCATCTTCTAAAAAAATTATTGCTTGTCAAAAACAAACTGAATGTTTTTTAATATATTAGCATGATAAAAATATTATTCAGTGGAAACATTTTTTTTATTTTTAAGTAAGGCCTCATGTTGAGTCATATGAATGAAAAAATAAGCAATAAGAGTATTTTATTTGCTTAGATACATTTATTTAACTTGACATGAATTAATTGAAACTCAATATGATATTTGGATATAAATTTTGTTTTTGGTAGAGCTGTGTAAAAAAATATAGTTTTATAAGTCTAATCTATAACTAATGTTAAACTGATTTGAAAATCTAAATTTATGTTAAATTGATTTTTTGATTAACTATATTTATTTAACTAGTCGGTTTAGTATTCTAAATCCACTTACGAAAAATAATTTTTTTTTTTATCCAAATTTATATGTATGGAAGTACTACCTTATATTTTTGCATTCATAAAACTTTGTTATGACTATATTTTACGATTAATATTTTTTATTAATCTTAATTCTAATAATTAAAAATAACTATTTTAAAATATAATTATTATATTAAAGATATTAAAATATAATAAATATTTTTAAATTAATTATTACTATTATTTTTAAATTTATGTTTATTTTTTAATTTTAAAAATATTATAACATAATAATTTTATTATTATTTATATTATTAATTTTTATTTTTATAGATTTTAATTTAAACTTTCATCATCAACTCTGTTTATTAAAAATAAGTTAAAAATGATAATAAATATTTTATAAAATTTTATAAAATAAAATATAATTAATAAATATTACTAAAATCTTCTTAAAACGCACTAATTTAAGACAACAATGTACACGGACAAATTGTTTTTACCTTAAAAATTAATTTCACAAATATATTAAAAATATTTTATCTTAAAAATTAAATTTAAAACTGGATTTAAAATTAATTTAATGTAAAACTAAATTTAACACTAGTTTTAACAAAAATTATATTTAAAGTCGATTTTAAACTAAATTTCAACTTTAAAATTACTTTTAAATAGATTAAAAATAATTTAAAATTCAATCTGTATAATTAATTTGTATGATAAATTAATGATAAAAAGTAAAATATATACAAATATTTATTAGTTTAATATAATATAAAATAAGAAAAATTATATTATTAATAAATTAAAATATATGAAAATATAATTTTATATTATTTATTATACAATTTAAATATTTTTTAAATAATTATTTAATAATAATATAACAAAAATTATAGTATATTTTTAACATATTTAAAATAAATTTTAAACCAAATCCAAATCTTAAAACTAAATTTAAATTAATTTTAAAAAAATAAATTAATTTAAGATCTAATCTTATTTTAAATAGAACTAAATTAGTTTTTTTAAAAGCTTAATCCCCTAACACTCCTGATTCTTGCTAAGTTAGCTCTAACTAACTGAATAACTGTAATCAAGATTGAAAGAAATAGTGACAAGTGAGGGAAAGGTAGGAAGGGGGAGACGTGTGATTTAGTTATTATATAAAATAATTGAGAATGGATTGTTGCATGCATGGCTTGAATGAGAGGTGAAGAGTCCGGCTCTGGTTGAGGAGAAGCAAGCTGTGACACAGAGTTGGAATTGGAATTGAAAATAAGAAGAAGAGTGAAAGAGAAGAGAAATAAAGAATTTAATAAAGAAATACGTTGAGAAAGGTGAGGTGTGAAAATGAGCAGAGAAGTGGAGGGAGAGATCGTGGCGGCGGTGCCTGTACTAACCAGGCTCAGAAGGGAACCGGAACCAGAACCAGGACCAGAACCAGAACCAGACCCTTTCTTGTCACTACGTAGATGCTTCAGCTTCGTTACCGCTTTCTCTGCCTTTCTTTGCGTCTCCATTAACCTCTACTCTGCTTTTCTCTCCTTCAACCGCCAATCCGATGTCTCTCTCTCTCTCTCAATTCTGTACATATATACAACTGTTCTTCTTTTAATGTTATTGGCTATCTTTTTTATTGCTGGGTCCTTCAGGTTTTTTACGGCATTTTTCGGTGTTACGCCGTTTTCATCGGGGGTTTCGTGATTCTGGCCGAGACGGATTGGGACTTCATCATCAAGTTCTCGAAGGTTAGTTACTTTTTTCCTTTTCTAATTTCTTCCTTCATCGATCAAACCTTTGTTATGCATGCTTTAATATATTATTATTTCCATGCATGATGCATCATGCATGGTTAATGCACAGGTTCTGGAGAATTGGGTAGGCAGGGGTATGGTGCAGATCTTGTACGTTTTCGCTTTATGATGTAACTTTTTTTTAAAAATTCATAATGCATGTTGTAGTTGTAGTTTGGTTTCTTAGTCTTTTGGTTATTCTCTTGTGTAGTGTTGCAGTCATGACAAGGGCTATCCGTGACTATTGTGGAGAGCGAGAGGAGTTTGTTTATCTTCAGAGCTTAGCGTGCTATATGTTGTTTACTTGTGGCGTAATTTCCGTTCTGTTGGTAAGATTATTGAAGAGAGAGAGCAATTTAGTCAAGAGTGCCTACATGATTTAGCTTTTATGGGTATATAATACAAATGATTTTATGTTTTCTTCTTTTATGTGCAAAGTTATACTCATTTCGTAATTTTTTAATTTTTTCTGTTGATTTATCAAATTTTTCTATCTAAGCAGACTTACTATTTATCTAATAGTTAGTAAAGGGTTAAATCTAGCAACTATTTTCTGTTAGATTATTCTTCCTCTATATTTTGTCTTTGCTTTGACCTTTCTCAGTCAACCTAATTTTTTTTTTCTCTACATAAGAATTTCTGTTTCATTGTGTTACCATTTGAAGGGAATCGTTGACATCGGTTTTCTGAAAAGTTATCGCCAGACGCAGGAGATATCTAGAGAGCAAGCAACCAAGGATCTTGAGGTAATATGCTTATATTAAGATGTTATGATTCATGCAGTTTTGAGGTAATATGCTTATATTGGATCGCATTCCATATGCATGTCTTTAGTTATTTGCCTTTCCTTATTTGCAATACATAACATTGCCCTAGTGCAAACTCAATTGCTGGTAGGTACATTTTCCTTGATCTTACATTGCAACATTTTATTTTATCCACATGAAATCAACTGGACAAATAGCCGATCATCTTTTAGCTTCATCTTGTATTGTTTCAAATCAAGAGATTATCTTTTAATTAGTTTTCTTAATTAGCTGAAGAACAAAATAAATAAATAAATCAAGGATTTTGAAAAGAACAACTTACAGTTTTCTTAATTAGCCGATCAACTGCATGACCACATGATTGTTGTTATATAAAGAATAACTGACAGTATTCACACTATTTTATCTCTCAGAACTTTTTATTTCCATTTAATCCATATTAATTTTTCCTAAATTTTTTTGCTGAAATTTACTTGCTTCTATGGACACCTACCAGGAGTTGGAACGGCGCAGAGAAGAACTACAACGACTGCTTGTATGATAGAATATGTTTGAACTTTGAACCTTTCGAAAAAGTGTTGAAATTGTCTCATTTCAGAGTCGTGAACGAACCCCCAAAGGCAACAACCTACAAATTTCTGTTTACAGAAGTGTTGTTAGTTATTGGATCGTTTAAAAGCAATATTCAAAATGATTTTTTCAACTTCTATTCTGAAGTATATGAATTCAATCATAATTGATGTTTACATATGTTCTTTTTTTTTTTAATATTTTTGAAGAATGAATTCATACAGCAGTTTGATTGATGCTGTTCTTTATATTTGTTGCATTAATTTGAATTTAATACTTCTGAATGGATTTGCCAAAGTTACCCTCCGGGGAAACATGCCTTTAAGCGGGGCGCATTCTTTAAAAAGATGATGATAATTATATGTTATATTAGTTTTTAATTTAAGAGTTTCTGTTAATCTCAATTTTTAAAATTGAGTTTAAGTATCTATAAATAAAATTGTTATAAAAAATATATAATTATTGTATTAATTATAAAAATACAATAAATATTTTTTTAAAATAACATTTTACTATTATTAGTTACTTATTTTTTAAAGCTATGATTAACAAGACCCTTAATTTAATTTATGGATTTCAGAGTATCAACAAATGATTTACAATAATAATAATAATTGATAAAAAAAAATACAATTTAATATATATATAGCCTAGTCAAGAAATACTACAACTTTTTTTATAAAATAAGAAAAAGGCTAGACTTGAAAATACCGTGTGTTGGCTCCCATCCTCCACATCCGCACGCACCCAAGAAATTCAAACTTAAAAAAGGGCGCGTTCGTGCCGCAGCGGTTTCGTCATTGAAGCAAGTCGCATCGCAATTGCATCAGATTGCTGTTTGTGTTCGCTTCCCATTCTCAACCACAGGTAAATCTCCCAAGTCCTAGCCTAATGTATGCATATATGTGAGAATCAATCACTCCACTTTTGAACCACTCTCCTAGATTTAATTTAATCAACAGGAATGAATTTAAACATCTTGAGATTATGACTCAGCACATTTATCGCCCAATTTACAACTAATTTTAATTGCACACACGTCTTTCTTTGCTGCTATCGTCTTTTAATTTCTCCAAACAGAGAGTTTTCACGATGCTTAGATCTTGCGTGCCACCATTTTTTGGTTGTGATTAGTGCATGTGTCTATAATATTCTCTTGTTCCTGAGTTGAAATCTGTGTTGAAAGGAGGAGAAAAAAATGGACAATGTTTACGCGGAGTTAGACGATGCCAAAGCAGAGGTGGAGAAGCTCAAGGCTGAATGCCGAATCAAAACGCAACTCCTCGAGAGTTTAAAGAAAGATCGCGACGAAGAACTTCTCAGATTCAAAGAAACTACGCAACGGTTGGAGGAACAAGCACGCGAGCTCAATCTCAAGTCTGAAGAGATGTATGAGCTGAAGAAAATTATAGAAGGTTTAAAGTCAAGTTTGCATGAAAAAGAAACGCACATTGTGCATTTGAGTTCAGAGAATAAGAAGATCCAAGCAAACTGTGCTGAGAGGTTGCTCAAATTGGATGAAATTAATAGAGAGTTGGTGTTGGCTTTAGATGAATCGAGAGCTAGAAACGATTCTCTCGAGCAGAATGATTGTGCCAGTAGTAAGGAAATTTCAAGCCTTAGGGCACTCCTATGGGCTACAGAGAAGAAGTGTTCAGAAGCAGAGGAGAAAGCTCAGCAAGCCACGACACTGAGGCGCAGAGATGACGTGATACTGCAATTGGAGGAAGAAAATATCAGCGTGCAGGATAAGATTAAATGGAGGAACGAACAGTTCAAGCATCTTGAAGAAGCTTATGAAAAGCTTCAGGTTCAGTTTCGCTTGAGCAAGGAGGAGTGGGACAAGGAGAGATCTGCAATGCTTGAGGAAATGTCTTCCTTGCAGACTAATTTGGATTCTCAAACAAGAAATGTGGAGGGGCTTCAATCGCGTTTGGAGATGTGCAACCACGCGCTAGCACATGAAGAGAGCAAGAGGAAACTCTTGGAAGCTGAAATATCTGAATTCAAGACTACCTTTGAGGATGTTTATAGCCAGCGTGAGGAAAAGAAGTCGGAGATACAGCAATTGACTATTCTGAGGAATGATGAAATAGCGCAGCTGAGAAATTCATTAGGAGAGAAAGAGACTCATGTGAGAGAGTTGGAACATAAAATTGTTCACCTTGAACAAGATAATCAGGAATTGGGGGATTCACTTAAAGAATTGAGTGAAGCTCAAATCCGTAATGGTGGAGCAAATTCTTTGACATCAAAGCTCCGCTACAAGCTTAGACGGTTGGAAGAGGTACATAAAACCTGTTCCTCAATTCTCAAGTCTAAAGAGTCTGAATGGTATAATCAAGTGGCAAAGATGGAAGCAGATATTGTTACTTGCAAGTCTACAGTGACCAATAAAGAACAGGAAATAAAGGAGCTTCAGATAGAATTGGACAATTGTTATCATGCAATTGAAGAGAATCGTATGGGACTCTTGATCTTTGAGTCTGAACTTGCTGAGGCTTACTCCAAATCATTTAGTTCAGAAACTGATAAAGCATTTTGTGTCAAGGAGAATGAAAATATGGTTGTGATTTCTACTGAGCGATTGAGAGTGAAAGACAATTCTCTAGAGACTATGGCACGGCAGCAATTTCTGTTGGAGGAAGAGCTTGGACAACAAAAGAAAAAGCTTGCGGAATCATATGCGGATCAACTCATCTTGAAAGAGCAACTCTTGCTGATGGAAAACACCCTACAGTATGAAAAAAGCGTTGCGGTTGAGTCTACAGAAATGTTGAAACTTGAAATAGCCAATAAAAATGATGAACTATCTCGATTAGATTGTGAAGTACAAGAGTGGAAGTCTGCTGCTGAAACCCTTAAAGTCTCCAATGAAGAAATTCAGGGAACTTGTAAAAAGATGGAAACTTCCCATCTATCACAAATTGAGAGAGAGCAAGCCCTTAAGCAGACAAATGAAAATCTTCTCTGTATTGTTAAGGATCAAGAGAGAAAAACTGAAGACCTTCAACTGCAGATTGCTTCATTGGAAATGTGCAATGCAGAGAAAATGAAGGAAGCAGAAATATATAAGCAAGAGAGAGAGAGTCTTATCCAAATTGTAGAGAAGAAGGATTGCTGCATAAAAGATCTGGAGAAAGATATAGGCATTAATTGCTTGAAGCAAGAATCCATGGAAAAAAAATTAGAAGATGCAATTCAAGCACAGCTGGATGCAGAAAAAGCCCTTGAGCAGGAGAAAGAGATTCAATTGAAGGTTAAAGAAGAGAAAGATCTAAAAATAAAATACTTTAAGGAGCTTGCTACTGCATTAGAGCAAGATCTGTTTGGTGCACTGTGTTTCTCTTTCTCAAAACAAGTGGAAAAGTGGGTTGGAGACAGTGTGCTTAGTGAGGCCTTAAAGAATGCAGAATGCCTGGCAAAGCTAGAAATTGAAGAGAAGAACATGAGAATTGTGAAATCAGAAGAATCATTCTTCCATTTGAAACAAGAAGCAAAGCAGCTTCAAGCATCATTAGAAGCCATGAAGTTGAAAACTGAAAATTTGTCAGACAAACAGCGGACCATGGAATATATAATTAAAGAGCTCAAGTTTGATAAAGGAAATTTGCTCCAAGATATCATGAAATTGTCGACAGAAAGGGAAGCTATGTTGGCACATATTGAAGACATCTATGGCAGAATTGGAGAGTTGTCTAGTGAGGATATGCAACTGGTAGAGAGGCTGGGGAATGCGTTGAAGACTTCTGTGGATGAAAATGAAATAGCACTTAGCTCAGTAGTTTGTGACAAGCTACATGATTCTAAAGATAGCGCAAATGGTCGTCTTTTCCCTCCCACAATTAAAAAATTTGAAGATATTGAAGGACGATCGCCACTGAGGGAGGTAAATAGTTTGCCCACGTAGACCAGAAAAGAAACCTGCGTGATCTTGCTGACGAAAATGCCACAAGGTATGCAAGTTCAGAAATAGTTACTTCTTCATATTGGATTGTTTATATTCCATTCGGTTTAAAGTTTAATAAAATTGATTTAGAAATATGGAATTTCAGTGAGATATATATAAATTAAATTGAATCATATATTTATATTTCAATGTGTATTTTTCATTAAAAAAAATGAGAATTATCTTTTTCGATTATAAAACAAACAAGGCCTTAATTGTTTATGACTAAATGCATATGTAGGCGAACTCTCTCTCAAAGCTTTCTTTCGAGGAAAAATGTGTATCAAGAGTAGAAGCTGGAGGTAACGAATAAGCTACGGATAGGAAGCTTGTAGCAACGTTTTTTTCTTTCCCCATACTTTTCTTTTAGCAAAACCCTTTTACCCATCATCTTGTCAATAATAGAAAAGTATTTGTATCCTGTCATGACACTTTTGAGGACAAGTACTGTGGGCTAACAGTCAGAGCAGGATTATCTGAATCTGCCATGTGAATAGTTCATGCACCAATAATATTCCCACATATTAATTGTGTGAAAAATATGCGGTATTTTGTTAAAGAGAAGACTAGTTCATAAGGCCACTGCTAATGATTGATATTTTAATGAGTGATATTCGGTACTATACTGTAATTTCCCTTAATAAGCGATCTGAAAAATTATGCGGAACACGCAGGTATCGGCTTTTTCACAAGCAAGCTGAGATTGTCCGGGAACTTCAAACAACTAACATCCGGATATAGAAGGAGCGGTAGATAAAACAGCTATATCGCTCACTTATTCTGTTGTTTCAGTAATTGCCACACGGTCCTTTCTCAGATGTTTAGATTTTGGTTCTTTGAAAGGTCAATTCTATTGAACATTGTTGAAAAAATTCTTTCCGATTCTTCTGCCATGCAGTCAAGTCAATTTAATTATTGAATTGTTTGAGAATTTATGCAGAAGTTGCATTCTTTTTTTTTAGTTTTGCACATCAGTTTATTTATTTTGTTGTGTTCTGAATCAGAGAACCCGAGCTCTGCATTCAGGAATATCATCTAACTTATCAACAAATTTTACCATCCAAAGTTTCCGGTAAAGTGAATTAATAACATTAATGCTTAGTATTACAGCATATCAGACAGATAAGTGATTTCAAGACTTTGGAACAGGCTGGAGGCTGTGCCTTCCGAGCTGCTTATGTAGTTACGTATTTCGTACCAGTATTTTGAGACTATGTTCAACTGGAACGGACACGAGTATTTCCTCAATTACAACATACTATTTAAAGTCATCCATTAATTAGTTTCTGAATCAAATACACAGAATTTCATACTAAACTGTTGGAAATACCATGTTTCCCATGTGCATATACGAGTCTTTCTGTCGCTACAAAATATTTGAGTAGATGTGGTTCTGAATAAAATCCAGAGAGAAATTTCAAATGCATATTAAATTTCATGCAGCATGGTTGGAAGTATCTGACTTATTAGAGTACTTAGAAAGCCATTTCTGCTTGTTCTTCTGCGATGCATTCCAGTTTCGAGAAAATTGGGTAAGGCCTTCACTTAACGATCCAAGATTAACCCCATTACCGACCAAAATGCTAGTTACTCCCATTTTAGAGACCTATTGACAATAATAATATGATGACCCAATGAATTAAAAAGAAAATGAGTGTGTGTGAGAGAGTATGAGTTACCGCTTGGATGTTCCTATCCTCATCATCGTAAAAGAGCATAGAGTTGAAGGGCACAGCAGTTCTTGAATGAATTCTCTGAAAATGATCCGTTTTGTGCGTCCAACTGGAATATATTTCCTGAACAATTCAATCAATCAATCACAAGGAAGAGAATTGAAGAGGCATGGAATTGAACAAAGTAACAGAAGACAAGACAAACCTGGGCAACGAACATTGAGCTGAGGTTCAATTTGTTGAGGAAAGAGGTGGCTATATCAGCGGTTGGTGATCGAGAAGCGATGGCAACGTCGATACCTTTTTCTTTGAGCGCTAACATTATGCCTTTGGCGTGGGGATACAGAGAAGGCATTTCGCGCTTCGATCGACACTCGCTGAAATTTTAGTAACATTTCAAAGTTGATGTGGTAAGAGTGTAAAATTAGGTCAAGGAAAAAAGAAAAAGGAAAAGGAAACGAGGAAGTGGGAACCAGTAGAAGGGCCAGAGAGTGTAATCGAGATCGAAAACGACCAGCTTTGGCAGAACCTCAAACGCTCCAATTATCTGCAATGCCTCCGCCTTCACCTTCTCTGTTCTCTCCCCCATCTCTCCCTCTCTCTCTCTCTCCTCGAACTTCGAAATTTCTTTCAAAATAATACTACCGATGAAATTGTCTTGTCTCTCCTAGAACCACCATTATGCCCCGACCCGACCCGCTTCAAGGACTGGTCTTTCGATTTCGGGCCTTGTCTTTTATTATTGCATTGCAGTACAGTATTGGTATTTTAAGGAAAATGTTTGGTTGAGACTAAGGATTGACAAAAAAAAAAAATTGATACTGAAGAAGTGGTTACCCTCTAAGAGAGACAGAGGAACGGAGAAATGAAAATTGATAAATGTGATGATTCTTGCATTCACTTGTACAAAGATGCCGTGGTTCTATTTGAGTTTAAATAATAATTTTTTAAAGAATAAATCTTTATATTAATTTCTAAAACTGTGTGAGTCGAATAATTTAATATGACATTTTAAAAATGTCTTATTAATCATTAATTATGTTTAATATCAGTCACTTTAGTTTATTAATAATTTTTCTTATAAATATTAAAATTTATTGAGGTGTTACATTAATTGTCATGTAGAAAAGCTGACAGTCTACAATTTATCATTAATTCAACTTCTCCCATGATGTTTTGAGTCTCTATTTTTATGCACCTTTATTATGTTCTATTAGAGCTTGTCTTAGAAGCTTAGGAAGAATAGAATTGCTACAATCAACACAGTTTTTGAAGATATTATGGCTTTGTTGTGTGAAAAATGAAGTTAAAGAATGGGTGGAGAGATATGTAACCTAAACTTAGGAACCGAGGTTCTTTATTATTTTTTTCCATGTAAGTTGATATTGTGGTTGATTAGTGTTAGATTTTTGAGTTTTAAGGAACAAAGTTATTTGCTTAAAGATAAATTAATAGTTTGGTATTATTTTAAGGTACAATGATGTTTATATACATTATGGGTTATTGGTGTGGATGCATGTTTTATTTGTTTATGAATTCTTTTTCATTTTTAAATAAATGGGTATTATAGAGAAGGAGTGTGTTTTCTGTGAGTGTTTTTGCACCCATTTATTATATATTATTTTAAGGTACAATGATGTTTATATTCATTATGGGTTATTGGTGTGGATGCATGTTTTATTTGTTTATGAATTTTTCTTCATTTTTAAATAAATGGGTATTATGAAGAGGGAGTGTGTTTCCTGTGAGTGTTTTTCAGTGTAGATGATAATTATTCATGTCCAGTATTGTAGTATGCTTGTCGAAGAAAATGGGAAAAGAAATAGCTATATGCAGGATAAGATGGAAATATGAATGAAAATGGATAGGGTATAGGGAGAATATTATAGTAACCATCTTCGTATCCGTGTTTTAAAAAAATACTCGTACTTGTACCCAGCTCTATACCCACGTGGATAGTAAGATTAATTCTATATTCGTATCTTCTCGGTACCCGCATACTTATACCCATATCCATTATCTGTTCTTGTTTGAGAAAAAAAATACATTTATAAAGAAAAATATGCTTATATAACTTCATATAAGTTGCCGAAAAAAGTACAAACATAAATGAAAAATAAATATTCAAAGATCACAAGTATTAAATGTATCTTAATACAACTTTTAAAACTAAAATTCTTAGAAATTATAAGTAAAATTAAACACATAAGTTATTTGTCGATGATAATCCTGTCTTGTGTGAGATCTGATTGAACAACAACACTAAATGGAGGCAGTGACGAGATGAGTCTGCACAATGGGTGGCCTCTCGTGTGGAATCACTTAGGTGACCTTTTATGGCAATATTAACAACTAACTCTAACGATTCATGATTGCTACAATATTTTGTATGTGTCATATATAAATATATTTTTTAAAAAAAGTTAATCTCATATCAATCATGTAATAATTAAATTGTATTAGTCTAGTTAAACGATAAAATGATATTTTTTTTATTAAAAATATGAAAAAAATTAATTTTTTGGTTTACTTTATTATTGAATATATATTTTATATTAATTTTATATAACTTCACATAAGTAGTATAATAATAGAAAAATTCAATACATAGTTATAGAACAAAGTTCAAACATAAATAAAAACTCACATTAAGTAGCATGATATATATATATATATATATATATATATATATTTATGTGTGTATGTGTATACAAGTATTGGTTTGGACTGAGTACTTAGATATTAATATTCGTACTCATATAGTAGATAAATACTCTATCTATTGTGGGTAAATTTGTGAGTACCCATCGGGTACTTTACTCATTGTTATCCTTAAGTAAAAGTGTGTCTTGACTATAACGAGAACATAGTGGAGTCTTTTACATCATCAATTATAGGAAAGAGTTAAAATATCAAGGAATGTGTTTTGGTTGGATAGTTTAAAGAATTTTGGAGAAAGATTAAGAAAGCTAAAGGTGGTGATTGCAGACATATTATTAGAAATAGTATCTGTTGTAAAGATGAATGGTAGAGAAATACATGTGGATTATACATATCCAATAAGTAAAGATAAATTTGTGAACTTGGACAATGTTAATGAGAACAAGGAAATGAAGGTATTGATTATGAAATACCTACAAAAAGTAGTGCTGATCTAGATGAGGAAAATCCAAAAATTGAGTTAAGAAGCATACACTAAAGAAGAGGCTAAGAAAGAATATTACATTACTGTCCTGGTAAGAGGTTGGCTACTAAGGACAAAGGAAAACAAATGGAAGTTGAGAAAATTGATATCAAGGCTGACAAGGGAGAAAACTATCAACAAAATGATGAAGGAAGTAAAGTGATACATCATGACCACAATATTTATCAATATACTAAAATTAGATGATCAAATGGGTCATTCACCCCTAATAAAACAAAGCAGATTGAAAAAAGAAATAGAGCCTTGAAGCATTTTAAGCTTAACATCACCACTAGTGAAAGTAATTTAATTGAGTTGTAATTGACTGATCTTCCCTTTTTATTTACTTATTTCTATTTTGTAATTAAGCCCCCAATTTGTGACCTTTAGTTACTTTTGTTATTTTTCTTCACTTAATCAACTACTATAGTTAAAGAATCACTTTTCTTGCAGCAATCAATTTGTGCAATTGTTGTTTAATATAAGTATATATATATATTGCTTGTAGCAAACCCTTACTTTGTAAACAAGTCAGGGTATGGAGCCACCAGTCTTCGCTGGGCATGCTGCTTCTTTAGTGGGAACTTTCCTACCATCTAAGGCCCCAAGACCACTAGCAAGGGGAGCGAGCTACTAAATTCTGCCTATTAACTTACTCTTGTTGATATGATGAACTACCAAATGTAAGTCATATAAGTTTGTAAGTTAAACAAACTCAAAATTTTACATATTGCATTACCATTTTAGTTTACACATGCTTAATTTAAAAAAACTTGGAAGGGTAGCTTACATTTTCAGCTTTGAAAATAAACAACTACCACAAAAACCATCAAAATCAAACAAAATATTAAAATACATTGAACTATGGTAACAATTTAAATTTCATAATTTAAGTTTCAACTAATGGCATCTTCTTTATTACATTCTTCCTCCAATCTTCATTTTCAAAGAATGCACTTTCAATGACAAAGCTAACCTTCAAAATACTCAAATTCTCCTATGCAACAACAATATTCTCAAGCCACAATACCAAACCCTAGGATTTGGGTCTAGTATTACATACTTGTTGAAAAGGAGTTGAACTCAGTTGCTGGAATGATTGCTTACCATGAAATCAAACAATAATGTGGTCAATTAAAATGAGAAATAATGTCAACTGATTTAGCGGATTAGGATAAGGTATTATGAAAACAAAGAAGAACAAAAAAGATAAAGAGAAATGGATGAAGTTTGAATATTCACAAAATGATGTTGCGTAGGCCATCTAAGCTTTCTTACGTGGCAATTAACATATCTTAACAAATTTTAACATAGTTATAATATATTTGACACTCAAACTTAAAGATTAACGAGACATTTTAAAAATTATTTGACACTCAAACTTATACTAATATGAAAATTTACTTAATTTTTTAAGGTAAAATCTATGGTACCTAGATAATTGAGAAGACCCTCTCTTACATGTGGAATAAGCCTAATCGTTAATTTTATATAGATAAATAATAGAATTAGTGATATAATTAAAAAATATATATCCTCTCATTTTTAAAATATTAAAAAAATCATTTAAAAAAGGTATAAAATACCCTCTTAAATTTACGAGTACCACAACAAGCACATTTTTTTTAATTTCTATTTTTAAGATTAAACTTAAGTAGCTAAAAATAATAAATATATTTTTTTAATAAACATTACTATTATTATTAGTTTTTTTACTGACTTGAACATTTCCTAAATAATATTGCTTAGTTTATTAATTTAAGATAAGAGAAGTGCTATTATGTCTTTGCAAGGTGAACCCACCTTTATAGAACTTTTGCCCAGGACAGTGGTCTGATTGGAACTTAAAACAAGTCAGTAAGGTGTCCATATACCCCGTTTGTTTATATTTTAAATTGTAATTATTTTAATTTTAAATTATTAAATATTTTGAAAGCTTAAAAGTAACTTAAACAATCAATTTATACTGAAACGTGCGCTAGACTGATTAAAATTGATTTTAGAAGGTAAGTCAACAAGTCCTATATCATTTTATTATTGTAACATTATATAAATATTGAACGAGATAAAAATAATTATCCGTTCAATTTTACATATTGCTTAAATTTTTGGAATGCAGTTACTAGGTTAATAAAATTCAACTTCTAAACTCTGATAACTCGTATATCAGTTTCAACGAATTATAAAATTAAATAATTCTTGTTTGTTGAAAGGTCAATTATTTCATCAAGGTCCTAAACAGAATAAGAAAACACATTTTTCATGAATGCTCTTAAGACTGATCATACGTAAGGCTGGTTAGTACATTTTGGAGGAAAGTGGACATGATAAAAATGTTTTGCAAACCTGACAGGGACAGAGACAAAGTCGAAAGTGCTATGAAACCAAAAACCTAACAAAATTTGACGAGCGAGCAAGATGATAAACTCGAAAGGGCAAAACGACGTTTATACATTTATACTCCTTGATATGTTTACACTAAGAAGTATGAGTGCCCATGTCTAAATTAAAACAGTCCCACCAAAATTATGACAAAAAAAGCTATTAACATTTTTGAATGTCATCCTGGAGAGACGAGGCAAGGAGTTAACGCAAATAGATTCACCATTCGAGGGCCACATGTTGATACGACCGTTTACTCTTTTTTCTATCCTACGTTTTTGGTTCAAGGTTAATGCTTTCAACTAACTATTAACATTTTGATTTGCCTACAACCATCCTGCTGCTGCTAACACTATTCACAAGACATTACGCATGCTTCTTTTAACATGCTTCTTGTGAATCGTCGACTTGGACCACCTGCATTCATATGCTTTGGCCTTTTAGCATCTCGTTCATCAGATTCAACTGCTAGAGGTTCTTTCTTGCTAATTGAAGTATCATCTTCAAGACTCGTGTTCTGAGCCAAATCAAATATTTGATCGGTTGCCAAATTCATATTTTCCTGGAAATTGGAACAAGATTTCACACTCATTTCAACATCCAGCCCATCATTTGCCTCAGGAGAATCCTGAACAATAGAATCTGCAAGCTCCACACGGGAGGTTGACAAATAATCATGTGCTGTCTTGTCTGGCATGCTGGACTCTACAAATTTCTCGAGAGGCTTTACTTCATCGGTAGCGGTGTTCAATGTGTTCCAGGATATTCTACTAGTAGACATTCTAGAATATGAATGGTCCTCAACAACTTCCAGAAAATTTACAGAGCATCCATGCTGCGAGGTTTCTGATGCTTTATGATCATTGCTAACATATGATGTGGATATAAAATCAGACTCCAATATCCCAACATGAGAATTTTCTCTCTCTAATGATATTGCGGTTCCCTCGCCAGATTCTTCAATTTCCTATATTAGAGCAACACATTTATTCATCAATTGGTCGAAAAACATTTTTGTACCAAAGGCACATCATTCCTTTTAGCTAAATTCCACATCTGCTTTCAGCAAACTCAGACGCCCAAAAAGTGTAGTTAAAGCTTCTAATAAACATATATATTAAGACAATTCCAAACAGAACCAAATTTTGCAACACCAGGTTCCTCACTAAAAGTAGGCCAGCATTGAGTAGCAAACATACTAACAGAGTTGGAACAAATTGTAGAAACATAATTATGAAATAACTGCAGTAATCAATTTAATGATTGAATTCATTTACCATTATTGGTGACATGAAGCCCCTCCGATGACATACTGACATCTGCAGACACTCAGAATGCGAAGTTACAACTGCTGCTTGCAAGTCCTTGAAAACTAGTCCAGGTTCACTTAAACAGGATGCAACACTTGTGGACAAAGTTGTTGGATACTTAATATCAGCGTCCAGTTCAATTGTATAATTTGAAATATTTTTCCCATACCACATAGCTGGAGAACAGCAGACCCCAAGGGAGTCTGCTTCCACTTTGTGCTTGATAATGCCAGGGACTTCAGAGGGAAGACTTTTCTCAAGGTAATAAGAAGGAGGTGCTCGCAAAGAATTATTTTCATATATATCATAAATTAAGTTCTGTATATGAGATCGTTTCAGAGAAGCCTCTGACAGAGGGAACCAGTCACTGTTCAACTGAAAATGGAAAGAAATTGAACTGTTATTTCAACTGTATAAAATAAACAAACAAAACATGTAGCATCCATAGTTGTTAATCTCATATACCAGCAAATAGCAGCTAAACCCTAAAACACTATATCGGAATAGCGTACAACGGGATGATTATTATTTAAAAATTTATAATATGCATATATAATATGTTGTGTACACAGAATTTTAATATAAATGCTCAAGAAATTCTCAAGATTACATAATCATCGTTCCAAGTAATAGTGTAAAAGTGCATAGATGTTATATTAAATAAAAAAATGCTAAACAGAGCTTGAACAGCAAAGTAAGAATGATCAGTGGACAGTAAAATAAAGCTCAAATAAAAAAGCAAAACAGACACAGGAAAAGCTGATTTCTCCGGTGAATAGAAAAGCAAAGGAGACGCCTGAAAAGCTTATTTCTCCAGCAAAATGGAGTGGGTGAGCCTTTGGACTAGCTGATTTTTCCGGCGAAATGGAATGGGGGAGTCGCTGAGGAATGGAGAAACTGCTAAGTTGAGGTCCCAACTTTTTGTGCAGAGAGGAAGAGTGTGGAGGAAGATGAAATCAAATAAATGAGATATATGTTTTATCAAGGGTACATAACCTTTCAACCCTTAAAAATAAGCAAAATGGCGTGTTTTAAAAAAAACAGAAAAGGGTTTCTTCATTTTCCCAAAATCGCGCGATAGCACCCGTGACTTCTCCCTGTTCTGGCCATGAACCACCTGCAACCACTGCGACATGACAAACGCCCTGCGACGTGGTGGCTGATGGCCGCTCCACAGCTGCGCCAGCGCAAATGCACCGCTATATTGCGCCATTAATAACTATGGTAGCATCTCATACAAACCATTGTCACAATGCTTTCTCCATAAATGCCAGTGCCAGTAAAGAGATACATGTAAGAATGGCAATAGTTAAGAAAAACTATTGACCCAATTATGGTAAACTCACAAGCAAGCAAAAATTATCTAACATTGACAAGCTTATGTAAAAAAAATCACACATTAGTGTATGAACATGTTAAGATCTAATTGTAATTTGTAAGGTAAGAGACTTAAGTCATACATTGGAAGTTTGGGATTCTAATGAGGTTTATAAGACCTTGGGCTTCTAACTACAACAACTAGGTTTTGTGGTATAGTTCTTTCAAGGTGTTCTTATTGATATAAGAACCTTCCAACTGCATTGACTAGCTTTTTGTAGCATATCTCTCAAGGTTTCTTATCAGAATTCAGATAATTTCAGGCATAGATGTCTTGCAGTCTTGAGGAGGGAGGCAGGAAGAAGAATGAATGTTATTAAAATATGAGGATAACTTGTACATTTCATGAACTAAATTCTGTGTCAAGAAACTGTTTCACATTCCATGTCTACAAGTAATTAATTGCTCAACAGATTTCTGCAAATAAAATCTTTTTACAACAGGGTTATGATCGCAAGTCATCTTCAGACACATTGTTAGGTTGAACTAAAAGGGCATGACTTGACTCCATTAGTTTAGCTCATATATTCGTCGGTGACACTTCTCTTCCTAATTTCAGAAAGACAAAAAAGCAGAGGGCCATAGCAGCCTACATATTGTCATGATTGTCCTAAAACTTTCTTATTTCTCCAGGTATAATCAGATTACAATATCATAAATACAAGGTACAACTAACAACAGTAATCATCTAGTTGAGTGAAACTTAATGAAGTTAAGAAGTCAAGATTATATTACTGAAAATGCAAAATGAGACTACATATCATGTTCAAGTTTTAATGTAATGGAAAGCCACTTACAAAGTTTGAGAACTTGGTTATCATGAAAGGGTTAAAGTTGATTGGAGCTTCTTTCAGAAAACATTCCACATAGTGGAGCAAAAAGAGACCACAATCATATAAATTTTCCTGCTGTGGCAGCTGAAACAAAAAGGAAAAACAGAATCAATAAATAGTTGCATTGAATTCCTGATATTCAAACGGAGAGAGACCACCTCAAGTGAGATGAATCGCAAATGTAAAAATTTAGAAGAAATATCATCCACCACATTACAGTGCCTCTCCTTCCATTCTTCACATAGGTAACTGCCATTTCAAAAGATACAAAAGAAAGCACTGTCAGACTCTTTACAATAACAGAAAGGAGATGAAATCTAACAAATTTTACAATGACACAATTTTGTGTAGTGGATAAGGAAATAACTCAGACAACAAACCTTGTGAAACAATCTATAAGCCCAGGGCTATCCCCTCAGACAAAATAGCAATACAAATTTTAAGCTGTTTGCCAGATATAATAAACAATCTAATAGCCCAAGGCAATCCCCTCAGACAAAATAACAATACAAAATTTAAGCTGTTTGCCAGATATAATGAAACTTTGATGGTCAACAGCTTGATGATTTGATGTAATTAGTTGTCTGATATTGACCCCAACGGCAAATTAGGTTGACAAATCATTAACAGGAATGACTATTATCACTGGCAGCAACAGGGGTTGGCTGAAATTTAGTGTACCCAACCACTGTCAAACTGGCGGGGGCAGATGGTGGAGGAAGTGATTGCATTGGCAAGTAGCAGTGAAGGACAGCAGCAGGTTGTCACCCATCAGCAATGAAATGGAGATATTTGTTTGACAACATGAGAATAGAAGGCTATGTATTTCAGATATTTCAAAAGTCTTTATTTATTTAACCCACACACCACTGGGCCCATTCCATGAATCTATATCATGTTACTTAGACTTTTAACTCAGAAATTACAAAAACTAGTTCAAACAAATTCATACAGTAGCCCAAACTTTTACTCATCAAAGTAAGAGTCAATTTTAGTATTGAATGAAATTCTGAGAAAGGGGATTAAAATCTTTATTTATCTGACCTCCATATTATCATAAACTATAAAAATAACTGGACACGTATATCAATCTCAGCTATCAACAAAGCTACCTTTGGAAAAGATTCTTGAGACCTTTATGACTTCCTTTTAGGGAATCCATGTGCAAGATGCAAGGTACTTTGGAAGATTCCTTAATTTCTTCATCTACAAGACAATTAAATAAAATGAAGAACTTCCAAATAGGCCATAGAAGAATAACTCGAAGGAAAGGTATCTTGCCTTTGAAGCATGCCACTTCACCAGGATGACAAATGACAATCAAGCTCCAGTGAAGACTGTCATCAAGATATATTAATTTTTCTTGAGATGCAGCAAAATCCATGAGCAAGCAAGAAACTGTGCTAGACACTTACCTGTAGTTTATGGGAATCAAGATATAATCTTTCTCAAAAAGTTTCACTTTCCTTGTCCATTTGCGCACACGTTGAAATGCTGCTTTACCATCACATGCACTTGATGGATCTTTGTCCAAATCAGCAAGCTTACGAAAGAAGAAGCTATTGAAAAAGTGAAACCTGTCTTGTTCAACGATTGGGAGTTTATTTTTCAAATACCTATTATAGATACACCAAATTTAGCAAATGTCAGTTTATTATATACAGCCTAAAAGAGAGAGGCATATCTAAAACTTCCAAGGAATTATTCTGTTTAAAAAAGAAAGTGACAAAAATAGGCAAGTAGGGTATGTTTAGGATAGATTACTATTGGGAAAATAATCTTTTTTTTTTTTTTTAAAAGGTCTCTCAAGAAATTTGCAAGAAAAATACCTAATTACATAAGAAGATGTTCAAATCATTTTCAATCAAGCTTAAGGATGATGTGTGACAGTGGCAAGATTATAAAGAGAACTTGTGCATGTATGAGAGAAAAAGAGTGCGAACACTGGTTTCTGAATAATGGAAGTCAATGATAGCAACATCCATGGAATCCATCTCTGCTATCATGCTTACTTGATGTAAAAGTCAATGATGGTATCATTTATGAATGTCTCTGGCTGCAAGAGCTCAATATCTCTCTTACTAATAGAAACAGCATCAAGCTCTCCCTTTGGATAAATAACTTCATCAAATTCCTCATCAAAACTGCATGAGATAATATTACATTTAACAAGCAATTTCTTATCAATAATTATCATACTGCACAAATAGAGATTCCCTAAGATCAAAAGCAGATTAGCTAAATAAATGCACAGCAGTCAAAAGCTTTAGCTGTCAGAAACAAAATTCATGGAGTGGCATGCTAAAACAATCTAAGTACACAACAGCACAAAAGTTCAAGCTATCAATTTCAAGTTCATACAGTTTTTTTTATGTATTTAATACATCTAAAGACTTTTTTTATCTCTGGATAAATAGTCCATGCCCATCTTTCCTTGTGCTGAATTTTAATATAACTGGAATCAATAGGGTGGATCAAACTCTTGAATAAGCTCAAATACTATGTCAAGAACCAACTACAAAAAGCATAAGCAATTATGTGCAGTTTCACTGATGGTTTTTCATCCATACTCTACAACTCTTTAAGTACCAAAAAAAATATACTAGGCAGGCAAAACAACCAGTTATGCTTTCAATAGCTAGGGGGGGCTCAAGAAATCCTGGCTCACATAACCATCAAAGCAATTAACATAGACAAGAACTGATGAACTATTGTAATGAGCAATCAAAACTTATTATGAAATAACACTCAATCTCACAGATCACATCTCAAAATAATCCAACAATGGATGAAAAAATGTCAGACTTACATGGGAAAATAACGCTTCTGAGAGAAAAAGCTGCCCAGTCCCATTTCAGAAATATTTCCATTATTATCTGTATCAATGCTGCATGGAGGAAATAAAATATAATATTAATTACCTCCTTATAATATTGAGCAATAGAATTTTGTATAATTTAAGTACAAAAGAAATCCATCACACCACAACAAAAACTTAGCAGTTGACAGGATGTGATATTAAAACATGATACAATTGTTTACAGACATACATGAAATTTACAAATTAAAAATGATTATCCAGTAGAGTTATATATTAATTATAGTAGAACACTTGATACAGATAGACTTACAGCTATGCTCTTCGTTCCCTCTAATCAATGACTATAAGAGAATTTGTTTTTCACCCATTAAAATACATGATTTGGGTTGAAAAGGAATATAATATTGCAATTACAAAATATATTTTACACTCCAATGAGTTACAGAACAAAACTTACTCAGAAGTACTCCATATATCCATGTATCTCATATCCAGTAATTTGATAGCCTCTTCTGCCTTGTACCAATATGAATTATAAACAGCAAACTTTAACAGCTTAAATCCTGCATGAATTGTTAAACAAATTATTGATGGGTTTTACATAAGGTGGAACTGTCTAAAACTTAGCAAGATGATCAACCCAAAAAATATATAAAAAGAAAATTATAGCCAGCAAATAGTATGGTATAAATGATTCCTGAATATTAGACAGAATTTATCAAAATCAAATAAATGAGAGAAAGATCATATCCATTTACTCACCAACACAATTGCAATTATTTAAGACATCCAAATTTAAAAACATAATGAAATCTGTATATTGATACACAGAAAAAAGATGAATAACATAATTTTAAAAGTAGTCACACCTGGATTTGGATTTGGATTTGTATTTCCAGAATCTATATAATCACTTGATTTAAGAAGAAGGTTGATCAAGGCCGTTTCAATCTACAGACAGAAGACTATCAAATTTATTTGCAAGAGAATAATAAAAAACGAAATAAATGAAGCAATGTACCTTTCCAAACCAGCATGATTCAATTTTTATAATATCTTCAGTTGCCCACTCAATTTTAAAAGATCCCCCAGTTCCATTCATTGTCATGCCTTCCAGTCTGAGGGAGCAGGACGAGAATATTAACCGAGATCTAGTTGAATATATATCCTCATATTGAATAAAATCAGGGATGACATCAACCACCTTTTCTACACCATTCTGCTATGAAGAAACTAGTACAGTTTAGCAAAGATCCCTAATCAAAATTTAAAAATAAAAATCCAAACATAATATTATAAAGTTCTGTATACCCAATGTCTCGGAACAAGATGAGGTATAAAATATTTCACTTTAAAGTACAATCTACACGTACAGTAATAATTAAGTTATTTGGAAAATGTTTTTATAGAGACCGAATTGACCAGATAAGCTGTGCAAAACAAACGGGAGTGCATATAAAGGGTAAAAAATAACATTTTTTGGTTTTCAAAATGATTATAAAAAAACACTATCTTTATCATTGGGAGACTAATGATTTTAAGAAACCTCATCAAGTAAGTGCAGCATAACATTATATCTATACAGCATTCCTTAATAAGGAATCTCAACCAAGGTTTTCAAAGCCAGATTCAAATTGCAAATCAGAGGGCTTATTTTCCAAATTGTGAATTGAAATTTACAATCAATAATTAAAAATAACATATAAAGCTAACAAAGTAAGAGAGAAGCACAAATTCATGATCAATAATTAAGAAGAATATATCTAAGAACATTTTAACATAAAGAAACACCTATGTATTAGCATTTTGAAGTAAAATAGTTTGCTATGTAGCTAACAAAGTGTCATAAACACTTCAAAATAACACAGCACAAAGACAGCAATAAAGTAAAGAATACCAGAATAAGGCAGGGAACCAGCAGACAATATTAGGAATTAAAACAAATAACAGAGCAATAGAAAGAAGGAACCACAAAGTTTGTGCTGTGTGGGGTAGAGGCAGTCAGCACTCTGCAGCAAAATGTGGGGGACCAGCTGACCAGTCAAAAGCAATTAAATAGTAAGAGCAGCAGCGGATGCAGAGCATGTGCTGGGCGAGGTAAGACGTAGAAGGTGGAGAAATAAAAAAAAAGAAGTTCCTTTTGTTTGATATTTGGTTTGGGTATCAATGGACTATGAGGGTAAGAAGTGGCTGTTTCCCTCCCAAATTCCAAAAAGAAATAATACAAAAAAGGATATTTCACACTGGGTTGCATGCAACCTGAGCCATTTTTTGTGCAACTCACAAGCATAAAGAATCATGCGATTTATGTTGGAACCATGATTGATGCAAGTCCGGGGTGATTCCTGCAATACAAGTTGCAATTCAAGCCCATTCCCAATTTGCAGTGCAAGTTGCATTGCTGGGTGCGCATCTCGGATTGAACCACACATATCATATTGCCAATCGGTCAATATTAACTTTTTCATTCATTATGTTCCCCAAAACAATGTTTTCTTTTCAATTACAACACCCTTTTTTTGTCATTCAATCTCTTACTTTTTTCCATCTGCCTCATTTCTTTCTTTCTCTGTCTCTCCCACTTCCATTGTCAAGGTACTATTACTTAGCATGTCATAATCATCCTTTGATTTTTTTTTCCCCTCAAGCAAAAGAGATAGAGAACATGGAACAAATTTCAATTTTTTTGTTTTCACAACAAAACCATTATGATATATAATATCCGCAGATTACAGCAATCAGGCAATACAATTAAGCAATTAATTATAGAAACATGAAAAGTACACTTACAATTTCAAAAGCAGTAGAAGGCTCCATAAACTGTTGTCCAAAGTCAACTAAAATCACAAGAATTAAAACTGAGAATTAGTAAATGAAAAGCCAGTGCAAAATAAGAGTCGCTCAGTACTGATTACTAAGAATACTTCAAATGTCACTGTAGATCTTAAAACCAGGAACAAAAAAGTACCTTCAACTTCTGAAGATATCAAAGTTGAAGTCGAAGAAGAATTAAATTGACTATTGTCATCATCGTCATCAGAAACCACATCGAACGACTGATTCTGAAACAAATAATTTAACTGTTACCAAAAACATTTATTCCACCCTAAGCAAGGAAAAGCACGACACGCGACAAAAATTTTAAAAAATGGAGACAACAACGAGCATTTACTTTCAAGTCAAAGTCGCAGTCCACGAAACCAGTGTAGCCAAGAATCCCTTTGTCAACACAGTGTTGTAGCGGTACGTCATCTGAACACGGATTAGCACATTTTCCTTGATTATCAATACCAGCACCACTACAACCACCATCGTCGTCATCAACAAAAACCTCTAACGGCTTATCGGCAACTTCCTCCGGTGAGCACTTCGTTTCTTCGTCTGATCCACACAAAAACACGAAAAAACAAACCGAAACCGTAATCAGCCACTTGGAAACCGACGAAACAGTTTGTGCATGAATGATGGATACCTTGTTCAGCGTCAAGATCAATAGGATCAGCGGTGACAAGCTTGTGTAGAGGTTCGGAACCGCGCGCAACTGCAGAGAAGCATCGATCTCGAGCAGAATGGAAACAAACGAAAGGAAAACAGAGAGAGTGTAGTTACTTACAGGTTTGGAGGAAGTGGTATTTGGTAATGGGAGAAGAGCGAGAGGCGCTAGGGTTTGCGAATTTGGTGCACATCCTCTGAGATAACTTCTCGATGTTTTCGTCTTCTTTGTTGAACTCGAAGACGTCGAATTTGCTGGTTGAAGAGGGGGATGAAGATGATCGCTTGCGGCGAGTCATGGAGTGAATAGAAGCGAATCAGAGAGTACCAAGAAAATGAAAGCTACTACATACAAATACAGATGGCAATGCGTTGATGAAAAGTGTGATATATGCAGTTGGAGAGAGTCCCAATGTTTGTCTTTTCGCTTTTCCTTTCAACTATTAGACCCTTTTGGTCACGGCAGTTATGTTCCTTCCTCTACAATTCTTCTTAAATAAGGATTTGATCGTGTAAATGTACGAAGGGAGTGTGTTTCGGAAGATGAAAATATGTAGTTCTGGCTATTTATCAAATATTTGGTGGTTCTTGATCAAATTTTACCCTTTAATTAAAAAGTTACCATAAATCCCTTCAATTAAAAAAAATTACTGATTTGTATAGTTTCCTTCTTTTAAAAAAAAAGTGAATGTTTTCTTAATAAAAAAATATTTATCTGACTTGCTCTTAAAATTTAGCTTATCCTAAAATGAAAGATGTCTTTCATTTGATACAGTACACTAATATTTAAAATTTAAATCAAATTAAAATTAAATATAAAAATCATTTAAAATGAATAACTATAGTTAATATAAATAAATTTTAATGTTAGAGAAATTATGTGGCTTCATAATTTTAAAATATTTTATTTCAAAAATTCAAATTTATAATACAAAAATAAATGATAAAAAATAGTATAATTTAATCTTTTTCTACTTATATTTTTACCAAAAATATTAAAATTAAATTATTTATTAATATTATATTTTTTAGTAATAAAATTATTATTTTTATTTTCAATAAATAAATAAATGACATTAATTTCCTTCATAAATTAAATATTTTAATATAATTTTCTTATTTTTGATTTATGAACCACTCTATAACGGTTAACAATATGATATTTCAAAATATTTGTAATTTAAAAAAATCAAGTTACGTTTCGTAACTAATAAATTAGATGAAACTTTATAGTTTATATTTATTTGATTAAATTATTATTTTTTAAATTGGCTAAATAATTAAGTGAAATATATTAAATAAATAAAATAAAAATTATTTATCTAAGTATAAATTATTTATAAAGTTAAGAACAAAATTTTAAAAATATCAATAACTAACTTTTAATAAATTATAAGCTATTTAAAATAACTTTTGTGAATTAATTTTTAAAATTTACCGGTTTTTAAATTTTTTAGCTAAATAATTCTATTAATTTATTTTAAAAATTTATATTTTAAATAAATTTCAAATTGGTGTTATCAAGTGTATTTATTTATTTATTTCAAAAACATTAATAACCTTTTATCCAATGCACGTTATAAAATTTATGTATAGTCTACTAATCGACGCGGATCTTAACATTTTAACAGATTATTCTTATCATCGAACGAAACGGACGTAATTTAATTTTTTTTTTTTTTTCACGTTATAGTGAAGAGTAGCTAGCATCCCTATGTATAATGTATATAAGAGCTTCATACAATTTAATATTATCTGTAACCTTAAGTATTTGGTCCATTTTATTAGTATAATAAGGATATTACTTAGAAACTTGATAACTAAAATATTTTTTTATTAAAAATCATGTGAAATGTATGTTAAAAATTTCGATAAAATTAAATTAAAAATATATTTGAATTGTTCTTACTTTCTTAATTAGTACCTTAACATATTTGTTAATATCAATTATTTTTTATAATTATTTAAGAATTTTATCTATTAAATTAGTTATCTCTCAAAGCAGTATTTAAAATGACAGAAAAATGATATATCTAGTTTTAGTTTGAAATGTATGACAATCATAACTTCTAAAACTTAAAGATAAATACTATCCATTTTTATTTAAAAAAATTGACACATATCCAGAATGAAGATTGATGTTGAAATATAGTTAGAAGCTGGGGCCTGGATCAATGAAACTCTGCTTTCAAGCCTATGATCAGGCAATGTTTTTTCCTTACAAATTCTATAAGTGAAGATATTTCTATTGATAATATTTTGCTTATAGTTTGTAATGTATAAAAGTTGTGCATATAACAAATTCTAATTGAACAAGTTAAAATAAAATGAAGAATGAGGCAATCATACCCTGCACATATTGTACACAAAACTTCCATCAATAGCTAAACATGGGCTAAAGTCTACATCTCTTAATCTTACACATATCACTCTCTTGTCATGGGTTTTACGTTAGCACAAAGAGAAATGTCTCTTTTTCTTTTCATATAAAGCCCATTTTTTGCTATACATGTATAATTATGGAAGCGATTTAGGCTTTGTAATTTTTGAAGGAAAATAACGAAGATAAAGAATTATGTAATGATTATTCTAATATTATATTTTTAAGTTTTTTTTAATTTAAATAATTTTATATTAATCATTTTTTTTTCATTACTCTTTAAACACTTTTCTTTTCTTTTTTTCTTCAAACTCTTTAACAAAATTTTAAAAAGATGACAATCGTAAAGTACTTAAGCTTAAATAGAGAGTTTAATATTGATATCATTATGATAGTCTGATAGATGATCCCGGCTATCAAAACAACTAAGTTTTCTAAAAGTTTTGTAGCATAGAGTCAAACCTAGATTGATTTACGAAGACACATTTTTAGTCAAATTCAATTTTAAGTTTTATTTTAAAGAATGCAAATAAAGTTTTTGGAATTTTAAAAATTGTAAATTAATTAATCAAATTATGGACATAATTAAAGTGAGTAAAAATGAATTAAGAAACATCAATCCACAGAATATCAATTGCGTATAACTTCAGTTATCACAGTATCTAAAGATTTAAATCTACGTTTGAACAATTACCCAATTCAATTATTAATTCAATCGAATAACCTAATTGAATAAAGTTACAAATTAAATCAAATAATTATTTAACCTAATCTGCTTTAATTATCAAATCAGAGCATCAATCGAATCCTAATTTAAATTCTAACAACAAAAAAGTCAATCACGATTGCAATATACAATTATGAGATTAGAGAGAAAAAAGAACAAACTCGAAGCGATTTAACGCAGAACTCAAGTCAAAATTACAGTGTTTGAATTCTACGGATTGAACGAGAGGGTTTAGCCTTGCATCGAAACACTTACCCCATGCAAGAATAAGAAAACAATAAAAGAGTTCGAGAGAAAGTAAAAATAAAAATTCTTATTTCGGCCAAGTCTTAAAATTTCAAGTGTCTAATCACTTCATCCTTAATTCATAACCTTATTAGTCTATTTATAGATTCTGATTAGGGTAAATTAAGTGACCAAAATGTGAGCCTCAATAATATCTAAAAGCCTAAATATAATTATTAAATAATAAGAGTTCAAATGCAATCTCGCAACAATATTCAACAAATTTGCCTTAACTTCAAAAAATCATAAAAAATTGAAAACAACTCCAAATCTAGCAACCCATATATACGTTTTAAAGCCCTGGATGTGTAGAATCTAATGCAACTAGAATCAACAAAAAATAATATCCGTAGAAAAAGTTATAGCAAAAAGAGTAGTCAGAAGTCAAAATAACTAAAAATATAAAATTAAAACATTTATTTGTAACAAGTCTAATTTATTCAAATAACTAGAAAATGATAAAAATTCTAAAAATAAAGCAAATGAAAAGTATTTATTAATCAAAATAGAACTATAAATATAAACCTAAAATATGAAAAGTTTATTAATCAAAGCATATTAATCATTTTTTTCTTTACTCTTTAAACATTTTCCCTTATTTTTTCCTTCAAATTCTTTAACAAAAGTTTTAAAAAAATGACAAACATAAAGTACTTAAGTTTAAAAAGAGAGTTTAATGTTAATACCATTCTTAAGGTAACACGACTCAAATGACATTATTAAAAGTAAAATGTATATCACAATTTATATTACTTCCTTAACTTGTTTAGTTTCAAATGGATATAAAAGTAAAAGAAATCTCATGTACTTCCGAGTGAGATATTTAAGCTTATGAGATATTAAAATTCTTTATATTTTACTTCATAAAAAATGTTTATTTTAGTTAATTTTACTTTAATTTTAAATTAAAAATTTAGAATAAACATCGTTTAATAGAGTTAAAAACTAATAAAATTTTTAATATTTTAAAAATTAAAATGTTAGAGGCATTATTTCAAAGACTAATTTTAAAATAAGAAAAAAACTTGTAAATTTTTATATTCACCTATTATTTCTATTTTTATCTATTTGTGATTAAAAAAATAAAATGTTTACCCATTTTTCTTTAAGATGATAATTTATTAGAAAAATACACTAAATACATTTAATTTATAAAATGATGCTTAGTAAGAAAGATTAAAGTAAGGAATAAAAAATAATCTATGAGAAATTCACTGTTTACATGTTGTTATCACCCAAGTGGAGGATAAGATTGAAGACTTGCTGCCGTTAGTGTTTTCTAAAAAGTTCCAAGAACTTCTTTCTTGATTTTGAGAGAGGGGAAGGTGTCGATGCTAGGATATCTTTCCTCTCCCTGCGTCTCGAAAGTATCTTTTCCCTCAAAGGAAAAGCTGAAGACGAAAAGTATTGCGAGAAGGCCTTTAACCTCGGCCTTGTCCACTTCTCTCATGGACAACAGAGGGATAGAGCGAACGGAAGTGGAGAAAAGGTTGACAGAGGAGCCAGATCTAATCTCTAGGAGCTTGAAAAAGGTCAAAACAGAATCAAAATCCCTGTTCGATGAACAAGCTACAAACATGCAAGAAGAACTTCCTTTTGGAACTCAGTCGAATTAGGTGTTATCTGTACCTACCTTTTCCATATCTCAATCATATAGAGATATTGTTCTTGAGTCGAAAGAGCTTGATATGGTTTTAAATGATAAGGACATAGTTAAATCTATTCTAGAAGATCTTAATATATATTTTGATAATGAGGAGTGTGATGAATCATTTGAGACCAACCAAAACCTTTGCCCTGAAATAAAGATCCCTTTGGAAGACTATGAGATGTGGTGTTCCCCTTGAAAATCTGCTCTCATTGTCAAATTATTAGGAAAATCTATAAATTTTAATTATCTGAACCATAAACTTAACAATATCTGGGGGGAAAATGGCGCCTTGAATATACTTGATCTTAATAATGAGTTCTTAGTAAAATTTGAAAACGTAGAAGACTATAAGACTGCTTTGTTTGAAGGTCTTTGGCTGATTTTGGACCA